AAAAATAGAAACAATCGGTGTACGCTACAATTTATAGTGAAGGGCCCCTCGGGATAAGTTGCGAAGAGTGCGGGGGCTTTGAGACAGTCCCTCAGAAGACTGTCTCTACCAGAAGCAAAGTCTCGTTTTTCCATCCCCGTCAACCACGCAATCTTTTCGATTAGAGAAGGCCAATAATCCAATCGCCATGTTGCTGTTTGATGATCCATCCTGTTAGCGTTGACGGAAGAGGCTCGGCACGGTATGGCTCATCTCTGTCCGTGACAGTGACCCCATGCCTCGTGAACACGGAGAGAGAGGGAGAGAGAGAGAGAGAGAGAGAGAGAGAGAAGCAGGCGTCATCTCCGGTACAAGGTTGAGGTAAAGCTATGCCCGCGGGCTGTTCGTTCACCGCAGCGTGTCGCAATAACGCCGTGCCCCTGGGGCGTGGCCGGCGTGGCCCCCGCGGGGCGGAGGCGGAGGTCCACTTTCTTCGCGCGCGCGCCGCGCCGCGCACTCACACAACACCCGCCCCCGATTCGCAGCCCGTTGTGCTCCTGTTGCCGCGGTCAATGTCACCCACCCGTCTTGTGTGTCCAGTACCCGTGAGAGAAAGAGGGTGAGGGAGGGAGAGAGAGAGAGAGAGAGGCGGCGATGTAATATGGTGCGGTCGAGTCTTTTCTCACAACAGGTTTTTCTGCCTTTATTTTTCAGAATTCGGGCACGCGCGCGCCGAGCGGAGAGGGGCAGCCATGGCGAGCTACGTGTCAGGATTAATAGAAGGCTACCATGACCTCATGGACAACAAGAGCGGTGAGTTTTGTCGCAGTCCGGCCGGCTCTGTGAAAATAATGAATTGCTGCATTTCTTTACCCCCTTACTTGTCGTCTGAAACGGAAACCGCTATAACGAAGCCCGTTTCTGTGTGCAGACCAGCGCGTCAAGGACTGGTTCCTCATGTCGTCGCCGTTCCCCACCATGGCCATCTGCCTCACCTACGTGTTCTGCGTCAAGGTGCTAGGGCCCAGGATCATGGCCAACAGGAAGCCCTTCGACCTGCGCAACGTCCTGATCGGCTACAACGCCTTCCAGGTCGTCTTCTCGTCGTGGCTCTTCTACCAGGTGAGTCCCCCTTTGAGCGGGTCGCTGACCGGCATCTTCTTGTGGCCGGTGCCGTGCCGCAGTGCGGGCGTTTGCCAAGGCGGTCGGCGCCAAGGCCCCGTGCGGGTAGGCAACACGCTCGCAAGCAGCGCAGGTGTGCCGGGCGGGTGTGCCTACGTGGTGGGCGCCCAGGCCCCGTGCGGGTAGGCAACACGCTCGCACGCAGCGCAGGCGTGCTGGGCGGGTGTGCCTACGCGGTGGGCGCTGAGGCCCCGTGCGGGTAGG